ATAGACACCTCCAAACCCAAGCATGCTATGCCTTATGGTTTCATATTGACTAAGTTGTTTGACAAGTTCAACATTGCCTTACCTGAACTTAAGTTTGGAAACCACAATGACATTTTAGATGTTGTTACCCTCAAGCAGTGTGGGTATGAGGAGATCGAGGCTAGAGGAACCACAGGATCTACTATTCTACTTAGGAGCAGTAGGGCTACAGAGCTCAGTAAGAGGTTGGAGTTAGTTGTTGAAGAGAATGCCAAGCTTCGTGAAGACAATGATGAGCTGAGAAAGGAAACAAGGCAACTTAGGGAAGAGCTCAGAAGAGATAGGGAGGCTCATGTCCAACATATTGTCACCCTTGTGAAAGCTTTGACCCCCTCTACTTCTCACCCATGAACGTGTTCCTTCCCAGTGTCCGTAGTTTCTTTTGCTATTCCGGTTACGCCTTATCTTTTTTTCTTTCTTTTGTTTGCAGTATGCTTAGTTTATTTTGTACTAATGGTTAAGACAAGGCCCTGGGCTTCTTTTGGCACTACTTAATGTCTGCCCTTGCTCTGCTTTACTGCTTTGTACTATATTGGATCGTCAACCTAGTCTGTTTGCCTTGATATTTCTTAAGCTTGTGTTGTAGCCTGTTTGGACTTGAATCTTACATTATCTGTGCTTAATGTCAAACATTTTTTTTTGTGTTTTCGATGATGCCAAAAGGGGGGAGATAAGGTTGGAAGGTTGTGGGTTGTGAACATACATGTCTTTCAATAATACTTGCTTGTTGTGATTATCTAGTTCTTTATTTGAGATTACCTGGTTCTGATGTGTACAAAGTTTGTCATCATCAAAAAGGGGGAATTTTTTGCTTATTGAAGTTTTGATGATCAACAAAGTATGACTAAATACTCAAAGAACCAGGTCCTAAACATAGCTGCTTAATTGTTCTGAAGAACCAGCTCCTCAAGATAAAGGACCAGCTCCTCATGTTGATACTTGTACGTCTGTACAAGACAGTAACTTTATCTCAAAGTTACCCATGTCCGAGTTTGGTGGAGGAAGGCTGCTATATGTGATAAGGGTCGTTGCTCAAGAAGATACGGATAGTACAGTTAGAGACAAAAGTCCCAAAGCTTGTGGAATCCTTGGAACAGTAGGAGTCCTATCAAAGAGGAAGCTAGCTATGAATAGGACGCCTAGAAAATCTCAAGTTAAAGCGGTTAAATATGATCGACTTTGGACTTTTGAACTATCCTTTTACACATCAACTTAAGAGTCATAAGTCGTTTACTCCAGTCGAGTACTTGCATTGTATTCTTCCTGAGTTAGTATAGTGAATGTGTTTTAGGAAATTGAGTTGTAATCAAGTGTCATAAACAATTAGTGAGTTGGAGTGGGTGTTTTTCTTTACAAGTTAGAGTAACTTGTAAATCAAATAGTCGTAGTAGGAGTACTAGAGAGTATTGAATTACAGTCTTGTAATTGATACATTTTTGGCTTATTGTTCTAGTGGAGTTGAAGTTGAAAATCCTACGTAGTATGTCGTGGTTTTTGCACCTTTTGAGCCAGGTGATTTTCCACGTAAAAATCTCTGTGTTTACATTACTGCTTATTTACTTCACGTTTAAGGAACGCAGCAAAGAACCAAGTTCTTTAGTAATTCACACTGTCACTTAAATTAACATGATCATACTTGAGGCCACAATGTATTAAATTTAATTAAGTTCAATTAATGCTTTTTCAGTATATTACACAGAATATTTTTTTTATTTCCTTTTTTTTTTACTTTCTATCGAACAAGAAAGGTGATATTAATAAGTATTGCCAATTGACAACCTAATAAAAATAATATTACTTTCATCCCAATTTATGTGTCAGTATTCAAATTTCAAAAGTTAAACGAGTTTCTTTTTTATCATGATTTTTTCATATACCTTTTAAATATTTTAACTTTTTAATTATTGTGACTTATAGTAGTAGTACTTTTCAGGTTGTTTTCAAACAAAAAAAAAATTAATATGCTATAATAGATTTGATTATAATGATAGTGCAAAAATGTTGAACACAGTTCAGTTAGTATTAGAGCTATCAATATGGGCTTGGTCCGTTGGGCTAGCCTAGCCCAGCCCATGATTTAGCAGGGTTGGGCTAAAAATTTTGGAGCCCATTTAAAAACGAGGCTTTTAAGCACGACCCGAGTAAGCCCCTGGCCGGTGAGGCTTGACTGAGGCTGGGCTGGGCTGGCCCGTGGGCCATAAAAATATTTTATTAAAATATATATAATATAAAAAGTATATTGCCTCTAGCGAAGAAAAGTCAGATTGGATCTTTATTTAGAGGAACCAAAGCTTGATCTTGAGAAGTTACAAGAGATGGATGTTGTCATGTATTGGAAGGACCATTCTAGAAAATATCCAGATCTTTTAGTGATGGTGCGTGATTTACTTAGTATTTCTATTACCACTGTAGCATCAGAATCAACATTTAGCATTGGTAGGCGTGTTCTGACAAAGTACAAAAGTTGCATCCATCATAAAAATGTCAAAACACTTGTTACTACTCGAAATTGGCTGCACAATTTTTCCCAAACTCAAACTAGTATTATTCTTTTTTATGTGAATTTGAATATTATTAGTTTTTAAAATTTAATTATTCTTAATATTAACTAATTAATGTTGCATTTGAATTGTAGATATAGACGAAAGTGAAGATGTTAAGACAACCTTGTTACAAGCAGATTCAAATGTGTTTGATGAAGATGATGTGTTATATATCCCATAAGCGTCATGGACGTTCTCTTGAATAGTTTGTTTTGAGTTTTGACTTTGAGTGAATGAAATATAGTCTTGTCTTTTACTTTTTTAGTATTTATTGTGATATATTGGAAAAGTATAAAAAGTTTTGCGAAATTTTTCTAATAAGATATTTTTTAACTTTTAAATATTTATCCTTTTTAAGGTTAGAATTTAAAAAAAATATAAAACTATATTTTAAAAATAATGGGCTGCTGGTGTGGGCTGACCCTTATAAGCCCATCAAAATGGTGGGCTATCCCAGCCCAATGCGTCAATTAGTAAAGCCCACATGGACTGGGCTCGGCTGAACTAACCCGGCCCGGCCCGGCTCATATTGACAGCTCTGGTTAGTATGTATAACCAAAACTTAAGAAGAAATTACCTAATATAGAAGTAACGGGTCGGGGCAGAGAAGTAACCGTTGCGATAAGGTCCTTATTAACTAGGGAAAATGACACAGTTATGCAAAAAAATAAAATTATTTATTCTTGTCTACCCATTTATTTTTTTACCCATAAACTAATTACATTTCCTACCCATAGTAGTTTTTGTGGGGAATTTTTTCTTTATTCTCCAATTCTTTTTTATTTCTATGCTTCTTTTCTTTTCTTTTCTTTTTCTTTTTCTTTTTTTTTTCTTTTCTCCTTTTCTTTTTTCTCGTTTTCTTCTTATTTTTTTCTTTATTCCTTTTCTAATTTCATTTAACTTCATTTTTTATATTTTTTTTCTCTTCATAATCTAATTTTATTTACTATTTTTATTATTATTTTTTTATACTATTACTAAAGAAAAATCAAATTGTGTACCAATTAAATGTAGCTAATACAACCAAAAAATATTAACTAACATATGATACCAGTATAGTATATAGCTATACCAACAGGGTATACAATTGTATGCAAAGAGTTAAAAAAAAATTAATTCAATTATTAAACTGAAATAATATCAGTTGTCAATAAAAATTTCAAAAATTTCTAAAAGGATCTAATTGTAAGAGTATACCGTTACATTATATAGCGTACTATAATTATTTTTTTGCATTTTCAATTTACCCCTTACGCTGGGTAAAAGCTTAAAGCAAATTAAAAAGGAAAAGGCAAGTGAATTTACGAGTAATAAGTATACTATTATAGTATATTGCATACTATTACAGCATACTGTTACAGTATATTGCATATGATTACGGTATACTATAACAATATATTGTACACTATAATAGTATACTGTTGCAGTATCACTATATACTCCTATAGTATATTGTATACTGTAGCGGTATACTATTAGGTAACTGTGTTCTTCGATTATTACAATATACCATTGCAGTTATAAACTATAATAGTATAATGTTGCAGTATAGCTATATACTCCTACAGCATATTATTTACCGTAGCGGTATACTATTGGGTAGCTGTGTTCTTTTTCGATTTTCAGCTCAAAATTTCGATCTCAATCACCTCAAATCAGCTCCAAATGCTATCAAATTTCAGTATGAACTTCCAGAAGGTACTATAAGCAATATTTAATAGCACCCACTTTGAATCAAACAAGAAATCTTCAAAAATAAAATGGAGCTTCAAGCCCAACAATGGTGGATATTCAAATACACATAAAGCTTTAGATCTTGGAAGCTTACTCGAAGATACTATAAGCAATATTTTATAGCACCCACATCGAATCAAACAATAAATCTTCAAAATAAAATTTCAAATTCTAGAGCTTCAAGCTCAACAATGGTGGGTCTTCATACACACATAAAAATCATAAGAACAAGAGGTAGTGCAATAGCTTGGTTGGCCCTCTTAATGAAGATCGATCTGGTAAAGGAGAAGTAGATCCATTTAAGTCGACTACCAAGTAAGCTTGCAAAAATGAAGTCAGATGATTTAACATTGTGTACGTCAAATGCTAAGGCAAATAGTTGTGGGCCGGGTAAATAGTCTTGGTTGCATAGGTAGAAAAAGTAAATAGTTTAGGTTTGAATATTTAAAGGTAAATACTTTAGACTTAATGGGTATAAAGCGAGATTTTTAGTATTAACTACCGACGTGGCCTTTTTTGACATCCAAAGGAGGATGGCGAATCTCACAACTTATTGAACACGCACTTTACATTTTGGAAAGGAAAAAAGGAATCAACAGTAGAAGAAAACTTACAGTAACATATTTGTGGGATTATTGAATATAATATAAACGTATTTGGCTTGCGGTTAAGTTAAAGGAAGGAAGGAAGAATTAATTTCAGGAATGTTCGTAGCTTTCATTGAGTTATGAAGTAATCCCTACACTCTCCGATAGGCAACTGTTGCTTTCTCTGTGTCATTGCACCATCAGCTTTGGCTTTTCTCTTCTATTTTAGTATTTTTCATTGCTGGTTTTAAAATTCCGTACGCAGAAGCAGCTTCAGCTCTGTAATTCGAAAAGGTTTCTCACAATCTATATTTTTCTTTCGTTTCATGCATTTCAGTTCTCATGACTGTATGAAATAGGTTTCGTATTTTTGTATTTTAAGTGTTTCTGCATGATCTAATAATGGGTTATCACAACATTTGTCTCCTATTTTTTTAAATTTGGTTGTTTAGTTCGATGAACTTTGTCAGTATTTCACTTTTTGTGCTTCCCTAATCCTAATCAATTAATTTCTTAATATATGTGTATGCACCAGTGCTTATATATGCATCTCTGCGGGGCTATAATCTATTGTCTTTTTCTTTTATCATTACTAGTTTATCCAAAAATAAATGAGAAGCTTATTCAACTATTTCCCATTGTATTTTTTTTTTCAATTCATGAATTTGTAAACGATAAATTAGTCATGCATAAATGTGTAAAAAGCAGATGGTAAGTGCTATTGTCGCTGATCTTTTATCAACTATCTGGTCTGTAATATACAATTGTACATTCGTTTATAGTCTACATTTTCAGAGTTCTGTTGTAGTCCATGTAAGGCCTAAGCTCACATAGAAATTTAGAGCAAATGGATAAAGAATTATTCAATATAGATAACCGACCCCGATTATATAGGATTGAGAGAAATTTGAATCATTTGATCATCCAAGCACGAGACTTAATATCTTTTGTTTACAGGTAGAAGATGGCAACACTGGGAGATATAGGAGTTTCTGCAGCTATAAATATTCTCTCAGCATTTATCTTCCTTTTGGCATTTGCAATTCTGCGGCTCCAACCACTCAACGACAGAGTGTACTTCCCAAAATGGTATCTTAAGGGTTTGAGAAATAGTGCGACGCAGTCCGGTGCATTTGTCAAAAAAATTGTTAATTTGGATTGGAGGGCATATATAAGGTTTCTGAACTGGGTGCCGGATGCACTGAAAATGCCTGAACTTGAGCTCATTGACCATGCAGGACTGGACTCTGCTGTTTATTTACGGATCTACTTGCTAGGGTATGGCTTTGTAATTAGTTATACGATTTGTTTCAATATATATCTTGTTGTTGCAATATCAAGTAGTACGTGTTTAGTGACTTTTAGTTCCTCTTTCAATAGTAGTGGGAAGAGATGCATCATGCTTTAAAAGGGAAGCACTGAATTCATTTTACCTTAATAGAACGAACTATAGCTTTTTTTCTTTTTCAAATGAAACTTATTGGAAATGACTTGAATGTAAATCCATGTACTAGTTGATCACATTCAACACGGACCTTTAATATGATTATCTTAAAGGCAAAGAAAAAGGAGAAATACAGATGTAGTGTCTCGATTAACCTTTTCTATGTGGTCATCACTATATCTCTTGCGTAAATCTTGTTAAAGAAAGACTGTAGAGCAAGGCACATATTTGCAATAATCTCTTCTTCTTTTACTTGGAAAAGTGATGAGGAGGAGAGTGGGAGATGAGGCAAATGTATTGATTTCTTTCTCTTTCTCCTTTCTTATGAAAGATGGCCTTATGAGTTTCAGTTTTGAAAGGAAAAAAAAACGTCTACAATGCAGGATTTGTTTAATCATTTATAATCTATACTATCCAGCTCTTTCCTTTTCTACTGCAAAGAGTATTTCCTTTGCTGGAATTTTCCGTTACACTGAGGAACTGATATCTGATGTCAATTATGGCTTCTGATTTGCAGGCTGAAAATTTTTGTTCCTATTACATTGCTTGCTTTTACTGTACTAGTACCTGTTCATTGGACAAATAGCACTCTTAGAAAGTCCGGGTTTACTTACAGTGACGTTGATAAGCTCTCCATTTCAAATGTTCCACTCGGATCACAAAGGTTAGACACTTTTTTCTTTTTTAAGTGTTTGATTAAATAGACTCATCATTACCAAGTTCTTATTCTCTTACCTACTCATATGATACAGCATATTTTTGGTCCTAGGTTCTAAACCTGTAGCCTTCTATGTCTACACTTTGAAAAATGCACATTTTGTATTTGTCTTATAAGGCTATTCTTATGATTCCAAGAAGTTGTTGCCCATTCTTGGGTCAGTAAACTTATCATACGTCATGAACATTATGACGAACAATTCATATGACTTATCAAAAAAAATAAAAATAAAGGAGGTTCACTTCTTGTGTGGGTTGGAGTCCATACTTCTAATTAAAAATGCGTTAAACCTATTCTTCGTTGTTACTTGTTTTCTGTATGTCGCAATATGTTTCTGGTTGCTTTATCTTTCGCAGCTATATAGACTGCTTCCTTCAATGACTTGTCTTGAATGTTGGATGTTTTCAGGTTTTGGACTCATATCATTATGGCCTATGCCATTACAGTTTGGACATGCTATGTCTTACAAAGGGAGTATGCAAAAGTTGCAGCTATGAGGTTGCTGTTTCTTGCGTCTGAAAAACGTCGTCCTGATCAATTTACAGTATGTGAAACTGAAACTCTGAAATTCTTCTGTATTAACTATTTACAAGTTTCCATTCTGATCTAGTGTTCAAAGACTAGAATATATAATCTTTCTTACATGGAAACTTATAAATATAACAATTGATGCATAGATAGAATTGTAATGGCTAGTTTTTCTTTTTTAAAATCTTAACTGTTCAAAATACAAGAACTGAAAGTTTAAATATTTTTACATTCATGATATGTGTAGTTTGTTTGAATTGCCTAAATATGTGGCGACGATCTTCTGAAATTTATGAATTGACTTTACAAAGGCGAACCTATTTTTCTTTGCCTCGTAAATCTTCTCTTCTAATATTTGGTTCCACAAAGGATTTTTAAAGTTGTGGTCTGTTTTCTGAATTGGTCCTTATAATATTCATGTTATTGATATGATGGGCTTGATTAAAGAGACTCTAATTTTCAAGTTCTAGTCATAAATAGATTTCTTCTTAACTGTTGGTCAATTCCTTGACCAGAAGAAAGTTGATGCATGTGGTAAATTATTCAGCGGTAGAGTTCAGTGAGTATACCTGCATGGGTTTTACTTGTGCAATTCTTTTTTCTTTGTATCAACTAGTTGTAGGAATACTCTTATATCTCTTGACACAATGGTTCTGACTCGCTCTCTTCAGGAACATCTCCGAAATGATCGTGATTCTCATTATTGATATGCTACACTTGCTAATGTCTTTCGTCCAGTTTTACTAGATAGTCGCGATAACAACTTCCTATTGCAATCGTGAGCACTGTCTGACAGAAAATCTTTTTACATCATTTATTGAGCTAAAATTTGATTGTTCTCAGGTCCTTGTCAGAAACGTTCCACCTGACACTCATGAATCAGTTGGTGAATGTGTCGAGCACTTTTTCCTGGTTAATCATACAGATCATTACCTCACACACCAGGTTTGTACTTGACGGTACATGTATATGATATATGCAACTTAGGAGTGAAATTGTTGATAGAGATTTAGCTTTTATTGTCTTGTGAACACTCTCATTTACGTCAGTTCACCTTAGCTGCGAACAGAACTGTGTTGTATTATTCTTTTTCTAAAAAAATGACTTAAGATTCTTTTGAGTTGTAAGCGTCTGCTCTGTACATATTTTTCCTCTCCTTTTGAATATTGGGTAATCATGTACTGCATCTTGTGATTACTGGATATTTGCCATCTTGAGATTTCATCTCTAAGAAATATGTCAAAGAAAATTTTTCTATACCTTGTGTACTGCATCTTGTGATTACTGGATATTTAACCTTTTCTATAAGATTTTCTGTACATGGAGATTTTATCTTATAGACAATGATATATACCTCTTCTGGAAAATTAATGTATCACAAGTTTTTGTCAAGTTCTGAAAGCTTGTTACCCTCTTGCTTTCTGGTTATGGTCATAAATGTATTTTATCTCTTCTCTTCATGAGAAGTCACTTGTATGCCAGATCTTACAATTAATAGGATGATTTGTTTCAAATTGTTAATTGCAGTTTAAATTTTAATAAAAACTGTTTATCTCTATTCATTTAGTTGGGTCGTACTGCAGGTTGTTTACAACGCCAACAAACTAGCAAAATTGGTCAAGGAGAAGAAGAGTAAGCAAAATTGGCTTGACTATTACCAACTAAAGTATTCTAGAAATCAATCAAATCGGCCCATAATGAAGGTATGTATAGTTTGGAGTATTTATTTCTCTTTCAGGATATCTTGAAACATTCTATGATGCTCCAGTATTTCTCTGTCTACCTCAAGCATAACTTGTATTTTTATATTCCTTCTCAAACTTGCAGACTGGTTTTCTTGGTCTTTTTGGAAATAAAGTGGATGCGATCGACTATCAGACTGCTGAAGTTGAAAGACTATCGAAAGAGGTAACCAATCTTGAGTAAGCTTTGCTAACTGTCATGTTGATTGATCTCTACTTCTTTCTCCAACCACTCGTGAAAGTGTCTTCTATAGTCCTCTATCAACTACTTTTGACATTGCATGGTCCATGGGTACCAAATGCTTTTATTTGGTTAGAAATAATAAGAATTTTCTTAAATTCAGACTGGAAGCTTTTAGAAAATTCTGTGCTTTCAGGCATCCATGCCTTTCTGTTAATTGAAAAGAAAAAAGAAAAAGCCCTGTAGTTTAATCACGTATATTTTGAGCTTGTCACCTTTTTGGTTTTATTGCTATTACTATAGATTAACTTTAGTTTTACCTATGTCTTAATTTCTTGCTTTACATGCAGATAGCTGAAGAGAGAGAGCGGGTTAAAAATGACCCAAAATCTATCATGCCGGCGGCGTTTGTCTCGTTTAAAACACGGTGGGGTGCTGCTGTTTGTGCTCAAACTCAGCAGTCAAGAAATCCGACTTTGTGGTTAACTGAATGGGCTCCAGAGCCGCGTGATGTATATTGGAGAAACCTGGCGATTCCCTATGTGTCTTTAACAATTAGGAGGCTCATAATCGGTGTTGCTTTCTTTTTCCTGACATTCTTCTTCATGATTCCCATCACATTTGTCCAAACACTTGCAACTATTGAGGGGATCAGGAAAGTAGCGCCATTCCTAAAAGTTATCATTGACATGTGAGTATGCCACATTATAGTCTTATTCCGATCCACTATCTCTCATTTTCGATATTTGCTCTATCTCCTACTTATTCAAGTGCTATGATATTTTTGTTCATATATTTGTATGAGTTTCTCAAAATGGTGGTAAAATTAGTTTGATAGCGAAACAAATGGTCCGGTATCTAATATTGAAGAAAATTAAATGCTCTGGTATCTTAATGTGTGCTTCATAATGATGCATAGGAATTCGCCTAACATGATCAAATATGAAGGTCGGATGATCATGCTTAATAGTGCATATATCCTTTTGTACATTTAAGAGAGTATTGTTTACTTTTCATGAAAATGGAGTCTTAACCAGTTCTGTTGATAGGCCATTATTCACACAAGAGTTGCTTGACAGAAGTCCTGCAACTTATGTGCTAAATGACATTTCCTTTCTAGAGAGAATATTTGTTGGGAGAACGACTTAACAGAGGAGATGATATATTGACGATTCATTTGAGCTTTGATCGTCCATACTGCTGACCCCACAAATTTTGAAAAACAAAAACTGCTCCTGTGTATGTTATTTGCAGGACCCGGGTGAGGATGGTGGGTGGAGACTCGGAACACTTCCCAGTTCTAATGGGGTTGCAGTAGGGATCCGCTTTAAGCCCATTTTTATTTGCCTTGACATTGGATGCACTTACGCGTCACATTCAAGGGAAAGTGTCATGGTGTATGTTATTTGCAGACGATATTGTTCTGATTGACGAGACGTGAGGCGGTGTTAAGCGAGGCCGGAGGTTTGGAGACAGACACTGGAGTCAAGGGTTTCAAGTTGAGCAGGACCAAAACAGAATACTTGGAGTGCAAGATTAGTGACGAGAATCATGAGGCCGACGTAGTTGTGACGCTTGACAACCAAGTCCTCCCCAAGAAAGGTAGTTTCGAATATCTGGGGTCTGTAGTTCAAGGGAATGGGGAGATTGACAAGGATATCACACATCGTATTGGAGCGGGATGGTTGGCATGGAGGCTCGCATCCGGTGTTTTGTGTGATAAGAATGTGCCGCCTAGACTTAAAGGTAAATTCTACAAAGTGGTGGTTAGATCGACTATGTTATATGGGGCAGAGTGTCGGCCAGTTAAGAACTCTCATGTCCGAAAGATGAAAGTAGCCGAGATGATGATGCTAAGATGGATGTGCGGGCACACTAGAAGAGATATGATTAGGAATGAAGTTATTCGGGACAAGGCGGGAGTGGCCCCGTAGAGGACAAGATGCGAGAAGGGAGGTTGAGATGGTACGGGCATGTGAAGAGGAGAGACGCAGATGCCCTTGTGAGGAGGTGTGAGAGATTGGCCGTCGTGGGCATGAGGAGAGGTAGAGGTAGGCCTAAGAAGTATTGGGGTGAGGTGATTTGGTAGGACATGGCGCGACTTCAGCTTACGGAGGACATGACCCTTGACAGGAGGATGTGGAGGTTGATGATTAGGGTAGAAGATTAGGGGGTAGTTGAGTGTATTTCTTTGCCATTCTCATGGCAGTAGTATTACACTTGCATTTTTTTTTTGTTGAGTTATGTGTCTACCTGTTATTTCTTTCGCTTCAGTTATTTTACTATACCACTGTTGTTACTGCTTGTTGATACTGCTCAATTTTATTTTGTCCTTGAGCCGAGGGTCTTCGGAAACAGCCTCTCTACCTTCACAGGGTAGGGGTAAGGTCTACGTACATATTACCCTCCCTGACCCCACTTGTGGGACTATTCTGAATATGTTGCTGCTGTTGTTAAAACTACTCATGCGGTGTTGCCCACCCTAGCATGAAGATTGAAATGTCATGAATAGATCAGAATTGAAGCAATAATTCATAAATGGTCTACTAAATGGATCTCTTCTATCTTATTTCTCATCGTTCTATGTGGTAAATATGCAAAAGAATTCTGTTGGCTGAGTTATTGCTTTGTTTCAAGCATGATTGTTGAACTTGTGGCAACCCTC